CTGGGAGAGGGCTGAGGGGAGGTGCTGGGGAGAAATGGCGGAGCGGGAGCGGGGCCGGGGCCGGGGTGGGGGCGCCGGGGCGATGGCGATGGCTACTCAGGGCCGTGATTGTGGAAAGGGGCCTGTTGGGCCCTGCGTTCTGGGTGCTCTCCCTTCCCACAGGCGCCTCGTTGATGCCAAAGCCTCATGTTTGCGTGGTAGGTCCGGCGATTTAAGCAAAAGTAAGACTCAGTGGTTAAATTAAGAAGACACTAAATACAGTCTCTTAATACAGCAGTTTTATTTCCTTCTATGTTTAGATCTTGCACCAAATTAAATTCAAGCAAATGACAGGCTGAGGAGTCCATCGATTTTCATGGGAAGGGTCCATATAAACAAATAGTGTGCTGTTATTCCCCTTTCTTATTTGGCAACTGTTTACTCAACATCCCAGCCTACTTTAATATATTGAGGTAATGGCGGTTCAGAATAGAGGGGACAGTTTTCTGTAGAGACCGTTTCTAATGCATGAAGTCAATCTGCTTATTTCAGACTAAATTCCATCTCCATATACCTTTCACAGCCTCTCTCATTTTGGTGCAGAGGCAGTCTCCCAAAAGCTTTTGTGGATTTCCTGAGAGTGGATACCTGAGGAACATGGATGTTGAGAGGCATTTATTTACTTATATCCTGATTCTTGAAAAGGAGGTGTTAGGACCTGAATTCTGGGTTTATGTCCATCAACCTGATATTTTTCTATTATTGTCAATATTTTCCTGGTGTTTTGCTGAAAACCCCTCCCTCTTTCTGTATGGCATGATTCATCTCTAGCTAGAAGACTGTTCTTTGGTGGGAAAGATAGCATCTCCTGAGGTCCCCTGCTGTGGGCTGGCTGGTATAGGTGGTGAATGAGATAGGATCTATGTATGCCTGAAGAAGGAAGGGCTGGGATATGCAAAGATCCTATTGAAAGAATAGTCCCCATTATCTTTACTGCCTTCTTTCTAAATACATTTGTCTATTTTCACTACCCACTCTTGCACCTCATTTTTGTTTAGGGAAAAGAGGTGTGGCCTCTGCTGGGGAAATGACTGACTTCAGAGTTGGGAGATGTATGTAATTAGACAAACTGCAGGTCTTAGGGGAATGAACGGGGAATCATTTGGCAAGAGCAGACAGATGGGAAACATATAACATGACCTTGAATGTACAAAAGCGTATGTTATAACACTTGTCATGGTTGTTGGGCCATCTCAGTCTCTTCTGTTTTCTCTCCTCTGCCTGTTTGTCTCTGTAGGTTTATTCCTTTATCAGTTCCTGTAGAAATCTGTAGGTAGCTGTTGACTTTCAAGAAGACCAAAACTGTTCATTTGGATCCAAGGTGAGTGTGAGCATGAGCACCCCTACTAATTGGGGATGGGAATTGGGTGTTGGGAAGTGGGTGAGACAGATGGAGCCATTGTCTTCCAGCATTCTAGACAGCTGTGCCCTCACATTCCTGTTTAGGAAAGGGGGGGTGAGAAAGGGTTGTGCTTATAGGATAATTCACAGACATCTAGGAAATGGGGAAAGAAACCATGAGGACGACGAAGCCAGAAACATACAGTTGACCCTTGAACAACATGGGTTTGAACTGCATGGGTCTACTTACAGGATTTTTTCCAATTTACCACAGTTGAGTTGATCCACACAGTTCTACTGACTGCAATTCAAACCTACATTGTTCACGGTTCAGCTCTGTGGTTGGGAATCTATGTATGTGGAGAATCGATTTTAGTTATCCATAGATTTTCAACTTCAGCGCCCCAACCCTTGCATTGTTCAAGGGCCAACTGTATAACCAAAGCCCCAAATCTGGAAAGATACCTAGGTATTGGGTCTAGAAACCAAAGTGCATGTCTGTCTACTGAAACTCTGAATTCCAGTCCCTCCTGTGTTTTTGTCCATAGGTCTGCCTGTGATTTCAGCTGTAGGGCTTATCAACACTGGAAGCAATCAAGAAAGGAAGACCAGTGCAGGTTGGTGTGAGGCCTACCTGGATATACCTGTATGGTATAGTGGTATATACCAAAGGGGCTGGATGCTTTGTAGCCTCTCTCACTTTCAGCAAACTTTCCCATCATCCCTGATCCTGTTTAATGCAGAGAAGAGTGTGGTAGTGCCTGAGCAGGATGTTGGACATTAGTGGGAGTGTGGAAGGGATAAAATGAGGTAACTCCCACTTCTCCTACCAAACAGTCCATCTCTACTCTCTCATGACCTGTTTGGCTGTCTGCATAGATGAGCACAGTTGGAAGAGGCTTAAAGCCCATTTTCTTCTTCCACCTTAGGTCCAACTCCAGCGGTGACTGTGGTGGCCTTGGAGTGGTGGAAGAGTATCACTTTCAGCAAGTCTGCACTCAGGAACCATCATCTTCCCTCAGTCTGAGTGCCTCTGCCCTCTGTCTGTATCATTGACAGAAGTTTTGTGTTCAGAAAGGGGACTGTGTGACTGTTGAACTGACAATTGACTCTAACTCTTGCTACAAAGTTGGTCTCTGACCCCGTGAAAGTGTCAACATATTGACCCAGGACTTGTTGAGAACCAAGGCCAAGACTCTATAGGATTATTGATACAACTGGGCTTTAATCATGGGTGGGAAAAGAAATAAGGGCAAAACTGAAAAAAGGGCTAGTGTAGAAGCTAAAACAAAGAGAGAAGCTACTGGCGTAGGCAGACCTGTAGCCAAGACCCAGGCCAAAGCAATAGCCAAGCCAGAGGTTAAGGCAAATGCAGTGGCACAGGTGAAGGCAGTGTCGAAGAAGAAGATTGTTACTGAGAAGAAAGGAGCCCCAGCAAATTTCAGTCCCAAAGTTGAAGATGAGGCCACTCAAGTGTCTCAGTGTCGTTCTGTGAAAAAGGCCGAGGCTGAGACCAAGTCCATGTGTAAAGATAAGGCTGGTATTGATACCTGTGCTGGGGAAGAGACCAGTGTTGGTTCCAGGTTCCAGAATGGAGAAGAGACTGATAATAGTTCCAGTGCCAAGGATGAAGGTAAAGCTGAGACTGGTCCCCCATCCTGTGCTGAGAAGTTGGAGCCTGTGGCCAGCGCTAGCTGTAAAGCTAGGCCAGGGGCTGAGGAGGAGGAGGAAGAGAATGTTATTGGGAACTGGTTTTGGGATGGAGATGAAACTAGTTTTGACCCTGATCCTAAACCTGTGAGCAGAATACTTAGGCCCCAGCCTGTGGATGAAATTAATGAAAAAGATAGGCCCAAAGACTGGTCTGAGGTAACTATCTGGCCCAATGCCCCTGCTGTAACTCCAGCAGTGTTAGGATTTAGATCTCAAGTCACATCTGAGACAAAGCCTCCTTCATATATTGTCTTGGGCTCAGCTGAGGAAAATGCTCATGCTTCGCCTGAGGAAACAGAGAGTCTTTCTAAGAGCATATTCTCATGCTCAGAGTCTCTCCCGGAGCACCCATTTGGTTCTGACCCTTGCATTCAGACTATAGAGCAGATTAGACGCCAAATCAAGATCAGGGAGATGAATGGGATTAAGCCATTTGCTTGTCCTTGCAAAATGGAATGTTATATGACTTCTGAGGAATTTGAAAAACTTATTTCCTTACTTGAGTCAACTACTGATCCTCTCATTCATAAAGTAGCTCAAATTGCAATGGGGATCATTAAGGTTCATCCATTTGCCCAAGAGTTCATTAATGAGGTAGGTGTAGTGACACTTATTGAGAGCTTGCTTAGTTTTCCTTCCTCTGAAAGGAGAAAAAATGCTGTATTTACTCTGAATGAACCTGGTGGGCTTGAAAGACACCGCAAGGTTGAATTACATGTTAAACATATGTGTAAGGAAACCATGTGTTTTCCCTTGAACTCACCCGGACAGCAATCTGGCTTAAAAATACTGGGGCAACTGACTACTGATGTTAACCGTCACCATATTGTTGCCAGTTATCTTTCAGACTTTTATTATTTGCTTTCCCAGGGAAATCGTAAAACCAGAAATCTTGTTTTGAAGGTACTTTTGAATATGTCTGAAAACCCAGTTGCAGCCAGAGAAATGATCAGTACAAGGGCATTAGGAGCGTTAAAACTAATCTTTAACCAGAGAGAAGCAAAAGCCAGTCTCGTTAGTGCTGTGGCCATATTTATTAACATAAAGGAGCATATCAGAAAGGGTTCAATTGTAGTTGTCGATCAGTCGAGTTACAGCACACTCATGGACCTTTTCCGTGAAGTTAAAATGATTATTGAAACATTGTAAAATGAGCCAGAAATAGAACACAGAACAATCTCCAAATTCTGATGAGGTAACTCCTACTTCTACCAAACAGTCCATCTCTACTCTCTCATGTCCTGTTTGGCTGTCTGCATAGATGAGCACAGTTGGAAGAGGCTTAAAGCCCATTTTCTTCTTCCACCTTAGGTCCAACTCCAGCGGTGACTGTGGTGGCCTTGGAGTGGTGGAAGAGTTTCTTCCTCTGTTCTCAAAGATCCTTGCATAATATTTTGTTTGTTATAGTGTGCACATTATAAATGATGTCTTTAACACTATTATTTGTGGTAGTATCTAGGTTTGAGCTAAACCATTTTGGGGTTATCAAATATTATTACATTGTGAGCTGAAAATGTTTATTTTTATCTTGTGTAGAGGGGGTACTTTTCAACATTTTACTTAAGAAATTAGTGAACCAGTTCATCCTAAATAAGCTAACTTGTTCATTAGTGTCTGCTTAGATCCATTTGTGGCTTCAAATGGCAAAAAAATAGCCTTAACTTATAATCTAGTTGCAGAAAGGCATATATACACACAAAAAGATAACTAACAGATCATGTATGCATTCGCACACTCATACCCATTGTGAAATGTACACTCTCAACATAAAGAAGGTAGGTGTTTCTATAAGATGTTTAATATAAGAATTAAGTTTCCTCCTGTTCTGCCTGCATCATATAGCATATTCTACAACCCAGAAATGGCCCTGAATCCTAGATAAAATGTCAGATTCACTTTTAAATGTCGCTACTACGTTTATAACTCATTGTTAGGCTACTTCATTTATGTCAAAGTCATCTCACAGAAGAGAAAGGAGGTAGGTGTAGGGAGGAAACATTTGCTGAGTACCTGCTCTTATGTCAGGCAATGTGTTGGCAGTATACAGGTTTTCCCCCCCTCTTCTGGCAATGGTCCTGTGAGCCTAGGTACTGGTAGTTATTTCTTTTTTATATAACTCATTGTGGATCACCTCCAATGAGAATTGGGGAAGTTAAATACTTTTTTCCTACATTCCCATAGAGGCAGGTGGCATAGCTGTTCTGTCTATTTAAAAAACCATTTACTATGCAACCTTACAGTCCTCTCACTTTTTTAAGTGGTGGCCTTGAAGGCTCAGAGACTGGTTTTAATGATTCAGTTTGCTGTAGATAATTCCCCTGCCAGTCTTGCAATTCTTCACTTCCTCCAAATACACATGTCCATTAGGCATTTGGAGTCAGCAGAGAAGTCTGGGATGAGTGTATGGATACCAACTGGCAGCTCCTGGAAAGCAGTAAGTACCCAAAACTATTGAATAACATGTAAATTTGAGTCATTAGCAAGTAAAATTTGCTATATCCTTATCTTTTTCAACCTGATTATATTTTTTTGTCAGAACTGGACTCATTCTGTACGTTGTTTCATACATTACATTTTTTAAAAGATAATTGCTTTCTTCCTCCTTGCAAAATCATAATTTTTTATAATTTTTTCTATTTCATATGTATCATGAAATGTCAAAAGGTTCCATCTTTTACTAGTAGTCTAGTCTACATTCTGCATTTGTACCAGCCTAAAACTGTACAGGATAGACTTAATTGGAGAAATTTAGACCCAGAACTGCAGCTTTATCAGCACAGAACAGGAAAGCTAGGAGAGAAGCTGCTACCTCAACTGACATAACAGTAATTCCTGGAAGTCTTCATGGTTCAGAAAGCATCCCCAGGACTTTTGGACTATGGCTATGTTCTCTACGGTTCATGGTAGGAACTACAACCCCTGGTCTAAGTTGAAGAGAATGTCCCAGTGTGCAAAAATAGTGGGTTATATGCTTTGAAATTTTTCAACAGTTAAGAAACTAACACAAGATCATACTGTAAATGTTTATAACTTGCTTTCCCCCACTATCTGTATATTGTGAATATCTTTGCACGTCAATAAATGTGTTACTGCAGCATATTTTTGAATCACTCAATTTGTGTGTGTGTGTGTTAACAGTTGGTGCATAGTGCCTAATCTTTTTTTTTTTTTTTTTTTTTTTTTTTTTTTGTATCTTTGCACAATAAATGTGTTACTGCAGCATATTTTTGAATCACTCAATTTGTGTGTGTGTGTGTTAACAGTTGGTGCATAGTGCCTACTAATCTTTTTTTTTTTTTTTTTTTTTTTTTTTTGGCCGCATCTCCCATTCCCCTTTCCCCCCCAAGAATAGTCAGTCCATTCCCTTTCTATGTCCCTGATTCATTATAATCACCAGTTCATTCTGTACATCAGATTATTTATTCACTTGGTTCTTAGATTCACTTGTTGATAGATGCATGTTTGTTGTTCACAATTTGTATCTTTACCTTTTTCTTCTTCCTCTTCTTAAAGGATACCTTTCAGCATTTCGTATAATACTGGTTTAGTGGTGATGAACTCCTTTAGCTTTTCCTTATCTGTGAAGCTCTTTATCTGACCTTCAATTCTGAATGATAGCTTTGCTGGATAAAGTAATCTTGGTTGTAGGTTCTTGGTATTCATCACTTTGAATATTTCTTGCCATTCCCTTCTGGCCTGCAAAGTTTCTGTTGAGAAATCAGCTGACAGTCGTATGGGTATTCCCTTGTAGGTAATTGAGTCTCTTTCTCTTGCTGCTTTTAAGATTCTCTCTTTGTCTTTTGCTCTTGGCATTTTAATTATGATGTGTCTTGGTGTGGTCCTCTTTGGATTCCTTTTGTTTGGGGTTCTCTGCGCTTCTTGGACCTGTAAGTCCATTTCTTTCACCAGGTGGGGGAAGTTTTCTGCCATTATTTCTTCAAATAGGTTTTCAATATCTTGCTGTCTCTCATCTTCTGGCACCCCTATTATTCTGATGTTGGTACGCTTGAAGCTGTCCCAGAGGCTCCTTACACTATCTTCGTATTTTCGGATTCTTTTTTCATTTTGCTTTTCCGGTTGGGTGTTTTTTGCTTCTTCGCATTTCAAATCTTTGGCTTGATTCTTGCGCTCCTCTGGTCTGCTATTGGGTGTAATATTCTTTATTTCAGAGCGTGTATGCTTAATTTCTAGTTTCTTTATCATAGCATCGAGGGTCTCATTAGTTTTCGTGAGGCTCTCCAGAAGTTTATTGCAAGCCCTCAAAATTGCGTTTTTTAGCTCTATATCGTCCATTTCTGTCATGTTTTTTTGTCTCCGCATTTTTTATGCTTTCTTGGTGCACCCCCTAGTGGTCTTTGTGCGCAGTCTTGTTCTAGTTGAGCCTTGATTGTTGTAGTTAATACTAGAGGGATTTGACCACCAGGCCGACTGGCTGTGTGAATCAGCTGTGTCTGCCGCGGAAAACTTCTGTCCTCTGGGGAGGTGCTAATCTAGCCTTTGCCTGAGGCGATCCGGCAAATGGCTCTGCGCAGGGCTTGGGCGGGGCGGGCTCAACAGGGCGGGCGGAGGGAGCCGTTATGGTGCCCTCAGTCCTGTTCCCAGAGGCTCTGCTTCTCAGAACCCCCGGAACCGCTGCAAACCTCGGAGGGAAAGCTGCCTTCCAACTGATGCCAGACACTCCCGCTTCTCCCGTTTGGGTCCGAGTCCCCAGCGATTCGCCCGTATCTGGAGCTCAGAGTCTGAGACTCCCCCCTGACCGAAAACGACAACCGCGCTCTCAGCCACCAGCCCGCTTTGCGCGCGCACCTCCGCACCTGAGTATTTTCCACACTGCGCCTCCTCTGAGCCTCGGTGTGCTGTTATTTTTCCTTCTAGTTGAAGAGTCTCTCCTCAGCCAGCCTTCCTGTGGTTCTGAGTGATGTCCGTTCCGTCTTTTAGTTGTATTTTTGAAGTGGTTGTTTGCGGCAGCAGTCTCCGGTGTTTACCTATGCCGCCATCTTGGTCGGAACTCCGCCTAATCTTTTTTTACATATCCTCTTAAACAATATGCACAAATTCTCTTGCAAAAATAAGGCTGTAGTGTTCTGCAACTTGCCTTTTCGTCTTTCCAGCTATTTTTTCAATTATAGTATTAAACATATCTGCCACATGCTTTTTATAGCTTTATTGAGATATAATTCACATACATTAACCTATACATATTCAAAGTATACAATTCGATAAGTTTTGACATATGTATACACACGAGAGACAATCACCATAATCAAGATAGTGAACACATCTACTACCCTGAAAAGTTCCTTCATGTCCTTCTGTAGTCCCCTCCCTCCTACCACTCAGTGTCTCTTGCCCTCAGACAACCACTGATCTGCTTTATGACAATATAGAATCATTCCCATTTTCTGTAATTTGATATAAATGGAATCCACACATGTATTCTTTTGGGGATGTTTGGCTTCTTTCACTTACTATAATTATTTGAGATCCATCCATGTTATATGTATCAGTAGTAATTGTTCTTTATTGTCAAGTAGTATTCCGCAATATGATTATATCACTTTGCTTATCCATTTACCTGTTGATGAAAATTTGGATTGTTTCCATATTTGGGCTATTAGAAATAAAACTGCTATCAGCATTCATGTACAACTGTTGCTTTTCTCTTGGATAAATACCTAGGAGTGGGATAGCTGGATCATGTGGTAAGTATATGTTTAACTTACATTTTCCGAAATGTAACATTTTACATTCTTGCTGCAGTGTATGAGAGTTCTGGTTTTTCCTCCACATCCTTGCTAACACTTCGTGTGGTCAGTCTTTTTAATATTAACCATATCTCATTCTAATTTGCATTTAGCTAATGACTAATGATGTTGGACATATTTTCGTATGCATTCTGTTTCAGTGATCCACTTGTGTATCTTGATTATGATGCCAAACTCTCTTGATTACTATAGCTTTATAATGTCTTGAATCAAGCAGTGTGAGTCCTTTAACTTTATTATTTTGCAAGGTTATTTTTGGTTATTCTTATTCATGTTTTTCCATATGAATTTTAGAATCAGCTTGTCAATTTCTACCAAACCTCCAGTTGGGATTTTGGTTGAGATAGCTTTGAACAATAGATCAATTTGGGAATAACTGACATTTTAACAATATTGAATCTTCTGACCTATTAAGAGAATATGCAAGGGGCAGAGTAGGTTTACAGTTGGTTGTATGGAATATACTAGTAATAAAATAAACCTATATAATAAAAGGCAAATATGCAAATCGAGCGAACGGCGGAACGACTGGTTGCTATGACGTGCATTGACCACCAGGGGCAGACATTCAACACAGGAGTTGCCCCCTGGTGGTCGGTGCACTCCCACAGGGGGAGCACTGCTCAGCCAGAAGCCATGAGCTGGGCTCACAGCTGGAGAGCACAGCAGTGGTGGCGGGAGCCTCTCCCACCTCTGCAGCAGTGCTAAGAAGGTCCAACTGATGGGGAGCAAGGCTAAGCCATTAGTCAGACATCCCCCGAGGGATCCCAGACTGCCAGAGGGTGCAGGCCAGGCTGAGGGACCCCCCTGAGTGCACTAATTTCATGCACTGGGCCTCTAGTTAATAAATAATAATACAAGAATAAACTCTGTTTTGTGTACTCACAGCTACAAACCTACTTTTGCTCACCCCTGAATATCTCATTTAGATCATCTTTAATTTCTCTCAGAAGCATTTTGTAATTTTTATGCAACATAACTTTTTGGCATGTTCTTTCATATTCTTTAGCATATTTGTATATTCTTTCTCCTGTGTAAATTGATGATTCTTTGTTTATATCTTTACTAGAGGCCCGGTGCATGAATTCTTGCATGGGTGGGGTCACTTGGCCCGGCCAGTGATTGGGGCCAACCGACCAGGGGGAAGGATCACAGGAGGTTGGCTGTGGGAGCGCACTGACCACCAGGGAGCAGCTCCTGTGTTGAGCATCTCCCCCCTGGTGGTCAGTGTGCATCATAGTGACTGGCTGACCAGTCATTTGGTTGACCAGTTGTAAAGGTCGCTTAGGCATATATAATCCTGAAGTTTACATATATATATATACACATATATATACATATATATATTATATATGCTTGTTTGAATATTTCTGTATGATAAATTCCTTGAAGTGAAACTGCCTTGTCAAAAATCATGAATGGCAATGCCCTCCTGCCAAAAACTACCAGGAACATGCTTATATTTTAAAAAGTTGAGTCGCACAGAGGTAGAGTACATACCATGGGAAATCATGGGGTGCTTCAGTAAGAGGATTTAGAAATGACTTACAGTATTGGGACTTGTGTTAGGTGATTTGGGTGGGTTTAAGAAAGCGAGGCTTTGCTGTAGGTTGAAAGCTGTCAGGAAGCATGAGTAATTATGTGATTTGGTATCTAAATCAGTCTTACTCTACAAATGGGAACAACTAGGCCAAAGCTAAAATGATAGGTAAAGAAGTAGCAATCACACATATTAGCAAGAATAGGGGGATATTCGGTCATTTTTGTGATGGAGACAATGTTTATCTGTGTTCATACATGATTCCAGAGTGGTCTTGTTTTTGTCTTGATACATCACAGTCACAGAGTGGCCTTATTTGACGTTAATGTTCAGTGAAATTGTTTATATTCAACATGAGAATACCAAGGCCTAGCTGTGAGTTCTAGGCCAGTTCCTGAATGTCAGGAGCTGCTTTTTTTCCCCTTTTTAATGACATTTACAAATTTTGATATATATTGGCTAACTGACTTTCAAAACATATTCTCTCAAGCCATAGAACATGAATGGCTATTTCTTCATACACTTGTCATCACTCAGTATTAATATTTTCAATTTTTGCTACTCTCAGAGGGAAAATATGTTTTTATAACATTTTAAAAGTTACATAATATTTTGTGTTATGGATGTGACAATTAAATCATACCGCTACATTTTGTTGTGTTACTTCTAGGGATGTGAGGATGGACCCCATCATCTAGTGGGAAGAGGAGAGTGGTGTATATACATGTGTATACCACTTTGTTTTACTTATGCCCCCTCATTGCTACTCTTCCCATGTGATCTCCAGATTCAGGCCCTTCCAAATACCAC